TTTGCACTTCTATGTCAGATAACTGACTATGCTGCAGTAGGCGTTCTGCCTGGGGTAAACTGTATTTCAAATTATATGCTTTTTATGCCCTCCATATTTCTGGACTTCTTTTAACCCCCTGCTGCAAGTCATGACTGGCAATTGCCACACTGATGTCACGCAACAGAAAATACGTCTAAGATGTGCACTTCTGTCAGCCATTGCCATTGCCTTTCATTTAGCTGACAAACCCAGGTTTGACCTAGAGTTCATGATTCATTTTTTGCTCTTTCCCTAATAAGGGTAAGGTCAAGTTGCCATAGTCCTACTTTGGCTTGTTTTTGCATTGGAGAGAGACAGTTTTTGGTCGTTTAACCTGAGGGTCTCCACGTGATGGGAGAGGTTGAGAAGAAGGGTTCTTCATGGCAACCTCAGCCAGTGCAGGAATTGAGCTCACATTGTTGGTATCACTTAGCATCACAAACCGTCTGTCCTAACCCACAGTTTCCCTAGTACATAATCTTGCATGTGCTGCTTAATAGTTGACTTTTATAAATACCATGACATTGCTTTTATGACTTCCTCGTTAACACAAGAATGTATAGGCTATCTGTTAGAAGTTTTGTTCTGAGTATATTTAATGGTGTCACATGTTACATTTCAGGTCTATGTTTCATTTAAAATGCCAACAAGCCAGAAGAGCAGATTTCTTTACATAAAATGAAACAGCATCAATTATTTCTGAACAGTTTCTCTTATATTTCGATTCTTGGCCTCTCCTCAAGTACCAGAGCAAAACAGCTAACAATCTGAAAGAAAGCCTGCAAGAACAGGGTTTCTCTACTTGATTTCAAGATGTACTGAATCATCTTAATTCAATACAGGAAATAATTGAATTATATAATCTATAGCACAGAAACAGATTTCTTAGCTCGATTGGTCTGCTTCCATGTTATATCTCTGTCCATCCCTCTTCATAAAACCCTATCAGGATACCCTTCTATTCCTTTCACCCTCAGTGCTTGGATCACAAAGATCTACAATACTGTAACTAATCATCACACTTGGCCTCCAGAGCCTGAGCTATCCATGCGTAATGCAATAGGACAAAATGTTCTCTCGTTTTCTGAAACTAATATTGACTTCTCTACTCTATCTTCATAGTTTTCAGGTTTTCATGGCTGGAAACAATTCTATGGTTTGTTTTGCAATTTTGCCCTTTTGAAAAAGTAATTAACAACATTGAATGGGATACCTAAGCCTGGTTTCTCTAATATCATTCAAATTAGTACACGTAACTTTCATGGACATACTCTTTACTTCTGGTAATATGCCCTAACATTCAGTCTTCATTATTAATCAGCATCTTAGACTGTACTAAAGCTTGGTCTGCAACCATTTTTAAATCTCTTTCCTCCTCCACCTTCAATCAAGCAAAGACTATTCATCTTGCAATCAAAATCAATCTTTTTTGTACTAAAATGTGTTACTTTTCCTTCATCCTCATTATTTGCAATTTTCCAGTCATTATGCCGATTACTAATCTCCTCCAGATGTCTTTGGAGAATATTCTGCATTTGCCACCCTATATAATTTTGTTTTGGCAAAAGCACAGTTTCCATGTTCTAGTCATTTTTCATTGTGTGTCCCTGGAGGAAACAGTGCTTTGTGGAGAATTAGCCAGGAGCAATGCTACTGAGAGTTAGGAGAGATGAGGAACAGGCAGGAGGAGAGTGGGAGGATGCATTTGATTGACTGGTTAAAATCCAAATGTCTTTTTATTTTTCTTCTTTTCAAGATTAAAATAAAAACAATTTTGAAATATAAATGTATTTAACATTAACTGGGATGCATAACTTCAAATGTGAAGATTCAACATTTTCCAAAGGAACCTATTCCCCAGATTGTCTGAGATCACCATTAATTGATTGGATGAACCAGCAAAGGTGGAGGGACGGTGATATATTTCCAAGTCAGGATGGCATGGGATTTCGAGGGGTACCTGCACCTGGTAATGTTCCCATGTATCTGCTGGCCTTGCCCTACAAGATGATAAAAGTTGTGAGTTTGCAAGGTGCTGTCAAAGGATCCTCAGTGAGTTGTTAGTGTGTTTTGTAGATGGTACATGTTGCTGCCATTATGTATTGGTAGCAGAGGGGGTGAATGTTGAAGGTGATGAACAGGATTCCAAGGAGACAACAAGGTGTAGAGCTGGATGAACACAGCAGGTCAAGCAGCATCATAGGAGCAGGAAGGCTGACGTTTCGGGCCCAGACCCTTCATCAGAATT